TTACAGTATATTTGTTTTAATTTGGTGAAGAACTGGTGATTAGGTTTATATCTAATACTCTATACCCTTTGCTTATGCTAATCTGTGCATATGAAACATAATTTGGCATAAAAAGTATTATCAATATTCGTTTTGTGAGACTTTCTACTGTTGATAAGGTAATATTCTCAAAATCCACATTTGAGAATATTTTGAGAGAATTTATTTCAATTATTATCCTCAAATTCAACAATACATCTCTATGGAGCTCCATATTAGACTCATTAACTAAAATCGACTCATTTATTGAAAAATCTCAAGATTCTAAGAAAATGCCAAGTTTTTATGCTAGTATTGTAGATAAAATGGTGGATTTATTGGCTTCTGATGATTCAAAAATGCCCTTGTCACTCAAAGTGAAATCAGTATCTGAAATTGGCATGATTAATTTAAAATATATGATGAAGATTGTTCAAGAATTGAACAAAACTATCATTACAAGTTTATATAAATCTTGGGTATATTTCAATATTTCATGGATTAATTAGTATTCTACTTTACAATAATGGGAATTGCTTGTTAAACTTTATTAATGGATTTTAATTTTCTTATAGATTGATGGAAACTCAAAGTCAGTTGAACATGCAATGATTCTTTTGAAATGTTATGATGATAAGATACTTCCATGGTATGTTCTTTATGCTTATTTTGGTTTCTAGATTTTTTTTTAAATAACATGAATTGATTATGTAATAACTAGGTTTCAGAATATCAAAGATTCTGATGATCTGGCTATAAATTTTGCATTAAAGATTTGGGATGAAATTGAAGACAACACACTTTTCTATGACACCCTTGTGGAAAAAGTGAGTCTTTTTTTGTTCAAATTGCAAGAACACCTTCATACAATCAAATTTTTATGATAATGTTGAATAATTTCAAGGGCAAATCACAAAAAAAAAAGATAATCTTTGTTATATTTTGTGCAGTTTTATATTCTAACCATTGTTACTTTATTTACCCAATCAAACCATAAAGATTTCAGGTATTTTCTAAAGGTTTAATCTCAAAAAAGACCTTGTATTTTGTGTTTTTTCCGAATTAAACATCAAACTTTTTTTGTGCCTGAAAGACCTTGTATTTTTTTTTATTTTTTTTCTGAGACATCCCTCAACTTTGTATTTTTTTTTCCGAAAAAAACCCTCAAACTTAATGTTTCCAAATAAACCCTCAACTTTTTTTATTTTTTCTCGAAAAAACCCTCACATTTTACAAGAAGAAAAATGACTAAAAGGGCCAGATTGGAAAAAATGAAAAAAAATACAAGGCCTTTTTTCTGGCAAAAAAAAAGCTTGAGGTTTAATCCGAAAAAACACAAAATATAAGATCTTTTTTGAGATTCACCATTTTCTAAATTAACCTTTCATTAGGTCAAAATAGTTAATTTAGAAAAATGTCAAAGAACGAAGTGAACAATATATGAACTACATGTGATTCACATTTAAATCACATGTTATTCACATATAAACCATATGTTATTCACATATGAATCACATATAATTCATATATAAATCACATGTTATTCACATATAAATCACATGTGAATCACATATAATTCACATATAAATCACATGTTATTCACATGTAAATCACATGTTATTCACATATGAATCATATATAATTCATATATGAATTACATGTGATTCACATGTAATTCACATATAAATTATATGTGATTCACATGTAAATCACATATGAATTACATGTGATTCACATATGAATTATATACGATTCACATGTAAATCATATGTAATTCACATATGAATTTCATGTGATTCACATGTAAATCATATATGTATTTTTGTGAGTGTTTTGCATCATTTTTTTTTTGTAGATTTGGAAGAATTTGTGGTGAATATTGAAGAGATGAAAAATGATAAATTGAAAAAAAATATAGAAATATTGATAAGAAGACATGAAAACGCTTTGAAATTTTGTAGCATTTTTTTTTGTTTTTGTTATTTTATATTGTATCGAATAAAATACTTATTGTATTGTGTTTATACATTAGTAAATAAGATTAGTTTTCTTATAATTTCTTTACAAATATTATATAATATATGAAATATGCATATATGCACTTGTAAAAATATGCCTAAATGTACAAAAAATATGCATATATGCACCTGAAAAATATGCCTAAATGTACAAAAAATATGCATATATGCACCTGAAAAATATGCCTAAATGTACCAAAAATATGCATATATGCACCTGAAAAAGCAGTTTTATCTTTTATTGAAAAAATTGTAGTTTTTTTTGAAGAAAAATGCAGTTTTTTTATTTTTATATTTTTGAAAAAATTATAATTTTTTGCAATTGTTTTTTGAAAACATTACAGTTTTTTTTAAAATAATTTTAAATTATTTTATTTTTAATTTTTTTTATTAATGTTTCCAATAACACAAAAAAGTTAAACATTAAATGAGATTGGTATGATTACGATCATGACCTTATTGAATTAGTTTTGATCTAACGTTCCACGTTTAGTTCTCGGGTTCTCGGAAAACTATGAGTTTTCAACCGATCTCACCTATATATATATATATATATATATATATATATATATATATATATATATATATATATATATATATATATATATATGGGAAAAGTGAGTATGAGACTGTAATACATGCAACCTTAGGTGTGGAACCTTCATAACGCTGTCATTTTGCTTTAAATTATTAACCCACCGCATGAATTCCTTGTTTTCTACTTGATCCCTAATTTTTCATTAATTATCAATTCTTTTTTTATTACTGATTATCAATGTTTATCTCTTTTCTATCTATTTCTTCCTTGTTATTGCTATCATCATATGGCTCTTAATCCTCCTATTCTTCCTTAAGAACCATATGGGTTGGGGACAAAATGATTACATGTTTAGCTTCTCCCGTTTTCGTCGTATTGCTCCCCAATTGCTATCTTATATAAGCAAATAAATCCTATATTCGATTCCTTCATTTTCAATTTGACTTTTATTTCTGCTTAGTCGGTTCCCCCTAAAGGTGAACGTTTTCAACGTATCTTTCTTTCTTCCCTTGTTCCGATTCTAGGATTTTGGATGTTGAAAGATAAGACGCAGGTCCCCAATCCATTTCTTTGCCATTTGATTTGAACTTTGTTTTTCATGTTCCAGTGGGTAATATACTAATATATTATAGTAGATTAACTTAGTTGTGGTTTGAATAAGTTGCAAAAATTTGCAATAGCATGTCAAATTTTTATTTAAATTATATAAAAGTTGTATTAGATTGAATGACTTGTACACTGGAAGAAGTCAAGTGACAATATATGTCTCATAGTTCTTGCTTATCGGAATGCTCAATAGGTGTTTGATGTAATGTCTAAATGAATTAAGCCACTAAAAATACACAATATAAAAGTTTATTATTTATGTAAGGTGCATTTAGTTGAATTTATCCATCTCTTAAAAGAAATAAGCCACAAAAACATGAAGGTTAAAAGTTTGCAATGTATATTTCAATATGTTAGTTGTATGTATATGCTATTTAAAACTTTTTCAATTTCTATGACAGTTAAGGATGCTTATGGACGGAAGATTATGCAAGAATTTAGGATGTTTGACAAATGGCCAGCTACAAGAAGAATGGACAAAGATTAGACTATGAAAGACCAACAACTGAAGCTAGCAACTGATCGTCAGAGTACCAACTCATAGCAACCCAATTTTGGCTACTTTGAATTTTTTAGTTGGTGGATTATTATTTTTTAGCGTGGATTTTTAGAACTTTAAACCATTTGCTAAATTCTATCTTTTAGTTGGTCATTTCTAAGTTGAGTTCTTTTCGTTTCGGGGATTGTATAAACCAATTTTTAAGATGTTTCTTCTCTTGTTAATTTTCTTAGGTGTTTTAATTGTAAATCTATATTTTTTGGGACAGGTAGCTCAGAATATTGTATTTAGTTCTGATAACAAAGACCACATTATTTGTTATGTAAATTGTTATAACATTCTTACTTGTATGAATTTTGATATATATTCAAATATTTCAGTTTCATAGTTTTGTCAATTTATTAAAGTATCATATAACATATCCCTGCAAATTTATTCTTTAAATATTATTAAAATTACTAATAAATACATTCAAATGTCATAAGGCGACTTTGAAAGTATATTTCAGTTTCATAGTTTTGTCAATTTATTAAAGTATCATATAACATATCCCTGCAAATTTATTCTTTAAATATTATTAAAATTACTAATAAATACATTCAAATGTCATAAGGCGACTTTGAAAGTAACTTTTGTAAGCATTTATAAAGTTAAAAAAACCATCATCTAAGAAACAATCACATACATTAACTATAATAATTTAATCTATATTTACATCAAGAGATAAAAACCATTAAACGAAATCCCAGTTGCATTCATTCATTAATATTCCATGTTTCTAAAAGCTTTCAATGGATTAATATAGATATTAAAGTTGCATAAATTAACCAAAATTTTTTTGTAAGCTCTCTCTAAGGAAAAAAATAATGGTGTATGATGTAAACCGATGCATCTATAATGAGCAGAAACCAAACACAAGATGCACGACATCCTCCCAGCATCAACAAGCAACACATGAAGTCACCAAAAAGAACCCATCCACTTGATTACACATTTTCATCACTATTTTTCTGCTACAAATTCATCCACCTGATAATAATTAATATAAGTATGACGCAATGAAATCATGAATAATCAAATAAATATTATGGTTACCTTTCTTTTTGGACAACCAGTGGCGTAATGACCTAGTCCTTGGCAATAAGAACATGTTCTCTTTTTCTTCACGTTCTCTAAAGAAGACTTAATTCTAGTTGCATTTTTAGGACGCCCTTTCATATTTGTCGGAGCAATAGGATCCCAAATAGATACAGATAATTGAGGCATTATATCTACTTGAGAAATTCCCATGTAACGATCTTGAGACACATTCTCAAATGCTTTAGGCTTTTTTCCGAATCTTTTGATCTTCTAAAAATTTTATCACGGAACTATTGAATTTTTCTATCTTTGTAAGGGAGTCACTTGCTTGTTCGATTGCTTTATCACAATTTGAACGAACACACCATAAAGTTAAGGCACTAACTCCATTTTCACAATTCACATCTTCAAGTCCAATGCTGTTAGTATCCACCTTATACCTAGCACTAAGTGTCCACCTTGGTAAAATATAGTGACCAGGAAGATTTTCAACATGTCTTTTCTTCATCACGTAAAGGCTATGCTTACATAATATTCCATATGTTTCATACTTAGCACATGAACACGTGGCATTCACATGATCCATAAAATGAAAGATAACAATTCTCCAATGTCTTTTATCAATATCCATTTGCCCAACCCTATATTTGATTTCTTATGTGGTTTTACTTAAAGTCTCATGAGTTAAATTACAATTAGCTTCTATCCATTCTTTTTTGAATACCTCAAAAAAATTTCTCGTATAAAACTGGCCTGCTTTTGCTTCTATCGGATGAACAGAAGAAAGGATCGGATTGGAGTTCATGGTCTTAAAGTCTTCATCTTCTTCGGCAGCCCTTCGAGAGTCAGCTGCTTTATCATATTGGAGTACAAATTCATTCAACATGGTCTTGGAATTAACAAATCCATCAAAAAATGAATGAATGCTCTCGCTTCTTCCACTCGTAGTCATACCAGCAAAGAAAACATCTTTCAAGAAAGCTTTGGCCTAGTGTATTCGTTGGTTATACATATCGGTTATCCAACTGTTAGTTTCGATGTTATACTTACCACGTAAAACTTCCCAATTGGTTTCAAATTCTTCGGTTGTATCACTCTTTACCCACTGTCTATAAGATTCTTTGAAATCACTATAACGGGTTATAAGTGGTTGAAGATGTTCTAATTCATGCTTCTTAATGTGCCATGCACAATAGCGATGACGGGTGTTTGGAAACACTTTCTTGATTGCATTACCCATAGCTTTATCCTAGTCTGTTATCATTGCCACCGGATACTTGCGAAAAATGCAGTTTAAGAAATGCTCAAATAGCCATCGAAAAGTTTCTTCTTTTTCATTTTCTAACAATGCACCACCAAACAGTATAGACTGACCATGATGGTTCACACCAATAAATGGAGCAAATGACATCTTAAATTTGTTGGTCATGTATATGACATCAAACACAACGACGTCCCCAAATTTAGTATATGCCTCTCGTGATCTTCCATCAGCCTAAAAAACATTTTTAGGAGACCCTTCATCAAACAAATCCATAACAAAATACTGGTTACTGTCTATTAATGCTTTATCTTGAAAATGTTTGATCAACCCATAGAACTCTTTACCTTTATATTGTTTTTGTTGCTCTGATAAAACATCATCACATTGCTTTGACGTAACATTGGTATCATATGGAGTTTTCATTGTATTTACAACCTTTTTGATTTGATAAGGCCTTAACCCTGATTGACCTAGTTCCACCATAAGAGACTTGCATGCCATTGAGCGGTGTATTTTCCCATGAGAACGATGTTTCATTACTTTGGTAGGAGTTGTACTCAAATTGTGATTGTGTGTGTCGTTAAACACATCGACAAACCATTCACTATCTTTTCCTTTTGATATCCGGAGCATTGCTTTACATCCAGTCCTCAAATTTCTACGACGTTTCTTAGCAACTCCACATAAACTATTACCTTTCAAACTTTTAAAGCATTGTTTATTACACACATAGCTCTTCTGATAAGGCTCATTTGTGGTTTTATTTTTAAAGCTCCAATGAACACCAATACCAAATCCATGTAGAAAGGCATATTGGTTATAAAATGTATATGCATCCTTAGGTGTACTGAAAACCTTCCCCATAATACTTAGATCCTTAGCTTCATCTTCATCATATGCAAGATTCACAATATCGTCATTTACTTTTTCAGATTCAAATGTTGATTCCAAAGAAACATTTGCATCTATATCTTCGATTGTATGTGTTACAAACGACTGATTAGCTACTGGGTTTTCAAAATCCATGATCTTAACTTTTTATAGGTGTCCGATGTTATTGAATCAAATTAAACCTAAAACAGAGAACTGAGTAAGTTAATATGAAAAAAAGTTAATAACTTTTTTAACAGCATGTTGGTACCTGGTAACTTTGATAACCCACAAAATTAATAAGGATGAATGATAAAACAACGCTCTATGTAGGTTAGTCTAGTAAAAAAAATATTAGTGATCACAGAATTCAAAGTTGAGAAGGAAAGGTGGGTAAAATTGATAAGGAACCACAATAACAAAGAAAATTAAATTAATTCATACCTGGTCGCTTGGATTAAACGATGCAATTGAGGATCATGAAATATAGAATAGAGAAATATGTAGGTTACTCGAATAAAAAAATTATGGATACTAGAAATCGAAGTTGAGAAAGAATTATGGGTAAAAGTGAGATGAATTTTGTAATATTGGTAGGATCTCATGGGAGCCGAAAATAAAGAGAAAAATAATATAAAAATTTATAGATGCCTAAAATAAGTGAATGTAGGTGAATTCATTTTCATCCAATGCACGTGATAATTAATGAAACATTGGGGCTCTGGAAGAAAACAAGGAATTCATGCGGTGGGTAAAAAAGCTATTAAAACAAAACGACAGCGTTATGAATGTTCCACACCTAAAGTTGCATGTATTACAGCCTCATATTCACTTTTCTATATATATATATATATATATATATATATATATATATATATATATATATATATATATATATATATATATACTATAATAAATGAAAGTTTTTTTGTCACATGTCCTCTTCTTATTCATTTGGACACATGACATTTTCTAGAATTTTTAAATTTTTTATTTTCCACTTGTCATTTTATTGTATTTTTCATTTTATTAAATTAAAATTCCATATTTAATGAGTAAGGTAATATATATGTAAAGTATTTATTAGAAAAAGTTTATATATATGTAATGTATTCAATACATTAAAGTCTCATTAAATCTTAATTATTCAAATTTTTCTTATTTTTCTTATAAATTCAAACTTTTCAAATTGTTAAAATTTTATATATATATTTTTAATTAAACCCATGTATTACATGGGTATTAAACCTAGTATATATATATATATATATATATATATATATATATATATATATATATATATATATATATATATATCGTGTGATCCATTATTTTACATTTTAAATTTATTTAGTATGATATTATTAGGTGTCCTTTAATATATGGTCTAATCGGGTCCAAAGAAAAGCCAATTGATATGTTTTATAAGTATCAGAAAATGGGAGACTTGGTCCAACATATGACTCGGTCCATATCCAACCTTTTCAATTGAAAAAAAAAGGACTTCCCAATTTTCTCTTTTGGCAAAACAAAAAAGGGGGGCGGGCTTGTTCCTCCCAGCTTCACTTTCCACTCGATTTCTTCCCCCCGACGAATCAACAGGAGCACGCTACTTCCAATAACCAGGTACTTTCTCTTCCTTTTTGTTCCTGATTTTTATTCCATACCGAGAATTCGAGTTTATTTCTATTTCGATTTATGAGTTTTCTTCCTTGTTGCCCTGTGATTTTCCCATCGTATGTCTGGGTTGTTGGTGATAAATAACAATTAACTTCTGAGTTTTTATCTGAGGTTTTCGTTATGCTTGTTGTTGCTGTGATTTTATTTCGATTGTTCTTGTTTTGTTCATGTTTTTGGCTGTTGCTGTGATTTATTTTTTATAGATGATATGTGCCTTGTTATGTGTATGTTGTGATTTAGTTTTTTGTTTTTTACATTAAATCCTTTTCTATGATTTCTTTTCTTGCTAAATTGTTAAATGATAAATGTCTTGTTATCTGGCTTTTGTAAATAAGAAGTTTTCAATGGAGACAATCCAGCCAAATGTTCCCAAGTACTTGCAAAATTTTGAAGTGTCCAAAGAGTGCAATGATCTGATTTCCTCCTTGCCCAAAAATAGAGGATGGGTTGTACCCATCATGTACCAATACCAAGGTTTTTGGCATCATACTTGGCAGCTCCAAGGAGTTCTAGCATTTCAAAAACATTTTCTTGCACAAGACACCGATATTCTTCTCGTTACAGCTCCAAAATCTGGCACCACCTGGTTAAAGGCAATTTCTTTTGCTATCATTAACCGAATTCAATATCCTATCGCTTCCACAGACCACCCTTTACTCAAAAACAATTCCCATGTAGTTGTGCCTTTCGTGGAACAGGTCTATGCTGATAACTCTAATCCCGACTTCTTTGAGACACCTCCTAGACTCTTTGCCACTCACGTGCCTTATGTTTCACTACCTGAATCCATCCACAATTCCAAGGTGAAGATCGTTTATATGTGTCGAAACCCAAAAGACTTATTTATTTCTGCTTTTCACTTTACAAACAAGTTGAGGCCCGAACATATGGGGACGAATTCCATGGAAGAGATGTTTGATTTGTTTTGTAAAGGAGTGTTCCTGTATGGGCCATACTGGGATCATGTGCTGGGATTTTGGAATGAGTCTCTAAAGAGGCCTAAAGAAGTGTTGTTTTTGAAGTACGAGGAGATGAAAGAGCAGCCAACTACTCAAGTAAGAAAGTTAGCAGAGTTTTATGGGTGTCCATTTACACTTGAGGAAGAGAAGGAGGGGATTGTGGATGCTATCTTAGGTTTGTGTAGCTTTGAAAGTTTGAGTAATATGGAGGTGAATAAAAAAGGATATCTGCCCACTGGTGAGATGAAGCAGGCGTACTTTCGGAAAGGTGAGGTTGGGGATTGGAAGAATCATTTGACAGCGGAGATGGCGGAAAAACTTGACTTGATCACTGAATGCAAGTTTCAAGGATCGGGATTAAAATTTTAAAGAAATAAAATATGTGAATATAAACCTTGCTTAAATAGATTGTTAAGTTTTAATATTTTCTTTTATGGGTCGTTTGGTTAAACAATATGCTTTGGTGTTATATGAATAAAAAATGCATGTATATATACCATCTAAAGATTTTATAATATTCTCAAAGATATGTAAAAAAGGCCTATATATTTGGTAACTGTTATAAATGTATACACTTAAAAAATACGACGACATTTTTATTTTATCTTCTGAAAAACTTTGTATATATTAAGTTGTTCCTGAATCTAGAATTTCCTTATATATTAAGTCAATCATTAGATTTTAATACTGCTACAAATTTAATGAGCAATATTAAGCGGTCGAAACCACCGGTTATCAAACTGTAAAAATATTTAGGTTATAACCCACAGTTGAATTTTTTTTTTTATTTTATATAAAAACAATAGAAAAAAGTAATTATTTAATCATACACATATTAAAAAAAATTATATATGGTAAATGATGTATAAATGTTAATTTATGATCCTCATGTATAACTAATATTAATAAAGGGTTACAGAAATTAAATAATATTATTTAACTTTGACTAATGATAAAGAAATAATAGTAAAATATGAAACATTTAAAGCAATATACTATTGCCCACGTATGAAAATTGGTTCTCTCGGAAACAAATCAACATTTGACAATAATTATGTTTGATTTTTATTTATGGTCATAGTAAAAAAAAACAGCAAGTGCAAACATTTGAAGTATCGTTTATGACCACTAATTCGTAAACAACCTTAAACTAAAAGTCTGATGTCTGGTATTCACTTTTTTTGTCATTGATTTTTATTCAAATAAAATCTTAGAACTTTACATTGGTATCATCATCTAAACATTAAGGTACAAATCATTATGGTTACCCCAGTACCATCTTTTAAATTTAGTCACAAACATTGCTTTCTCTTGTAAAATATCCTTACACCAATCCTTACATCACTTGGATTCGTCTCTCATCAATATTTCATCAAACGTATTATTAACATCATTTACTTTATAATGTAGCTTCCAAAAAAAAACATCATTGGTTACATATGGCTAGTAGACATCACATTGAATAAAGCCAATTGAAACAAAAACATATGACAAATAGGAAAATCCTAGATAGTTGGACGAAGCATGACATCAAAAATTAGGAATGAGAAAACCATTAACATATTTTAAAATTCTAGGATAGTAGCTTGGTTTATGCCATGAATTTGCTTTTGGATATAGTTACTGGTGTTGGAGTTTCGATTGGTAATTTACCTCTTTATCTCATTTAGATTTCAAGTTGTTACTATTTATACCGTAATATTTTGGTTCACCTGAAGGCATGAAGTCATTTCTCACTTGGGATCCAGGTTTTGCTGATTTTAACAACTTTACCCCTGAGCAATAAAGCATATTAAAGTGAATGAAATCACAAAGCAGGAACCCGAGAAGAATCCATGTATAATGATTAAACATACCTATTATAGCATTTTAGTTTGATAAGTCTTGCAAATTATAACATTGTACTTTGGTTTCTTCATATTATAGAAGTGTAGCTTGAAAACATACCTAATTATACTAATGTTATAAAAGTAGTCATCTGCATGTGTAATGTAATGCAGTTTTATACATTTAACCAATGAAAATAAATTGTTATTCTTTTTGCTTTTTTCTTATTAAGTTTACTTTATTTTTTTTCTTATTAAACTATCATACTTTAAAACTACAATGCAATAATTTATTGTTATTCTCTTAATTTTACTTTAATTTCTATTTCTATAACTCTTTTTTCCTAATTCAAGCATTCACTTTGAAAGTTAATGCAATAAGTGGTGGATGTTTTCCAAGTATACCCAGTTAGGCAGTACAATGCTTTAATGTGAAAAAAATAAACACCAAACATATATAGATGAGGAAAAAATGAAAGTAACAATCCTTTTAAGTATGAAATCTTAATTGCAGACCCTCTTATCATAAATTTTCATTAAAAGCCAAATATATATATATATATATATATATATATATATATATATATATATATATATATATATATATATATATATATATATATATATATATATATATAGATTAAGACGAAAATGAAGTAAATATGCACAACCTTCTCAAACCTTCTTTTAATAAAAAATTTGGATTACTTAAAGGAATGAAAATTCTCACTGCTGAAACACAACCCTATTAGAATCATCAAGTGAGATTTCTCAATCACCAAAAAAATGTGTACAATTAAACCAGGAAAACAAGGTAAGATACGAGGGATGGACGTGCCTTCTTTGAGAAGTGAGCGATACAATGATATTATTGTATTCAGACGCATTATTAACAACAAATTGACAATATCCAAGTGATGGGATGGTGGCTGTTGAATAGTAGGGACTAAAATTTAACTGAATTCCAAACCAAAAAAAATCATAAACCCATAAAAGCTAGTCTCTCGAAATACATGTAAAATGAGAATTAATGATAACATAACAATCAGGTGGTGGTCAGGTGCAATTGGTACAACCTTTCCCGCCATTTCCACTTAAAAACATATAAAAAAACAAGCATGTTATCGAAAAGGGGGAGAGGAATTGATGAAACCCTAAAATCGATGTTAAACAAAGTGAAAGAAAGTGATTTGAAGAAGAACTATAGCCTGGAAAGATAGATGGGGAATTCAAAACGAAGAAAAGAGTACAAAAGACAGACCTGTAAAAACCAAAATTCAAACGTGTGAAACTGGAAACCATCATCAATGGTAGTGAAAAACACACATCAAGGAGTAGAAACATTATGGATTTGCAAGCCATTATGGTGACGGTTGTGGTTGATGTAAACTTTGGTGAGTCGATTCATGACGGTTTGTTTTCCATTTCAATCAGCATCATGGTGGAGAAACCCGTAAGAAGTTCATAATCAATTTCAAATGTTCAAGGAAAAAGACAATTTCAAGGATTAAAGAGAGAAAATGTAACACCCTATTTTCGCATTATAGTATAAACGATCAATCACGTAAATGAACGTGCTGATAAAAAGACTGTTTAGGATAAATAGTCGTGAAATTTTTTTTGTAGTAGTCGTAAAAGCGAGAACGTCCATATAAAAAATGCCTAAATACGATTTTGTATGAGGAAGTTATGATTTCTAGAAGTTTCAGCGCAATAGTGTACGACATAAAAAACCGAAATAGAGATAGGTCGACTATTAGGGAAAACATTCCAAACAAGGGTTGAAGATCAGTTCGTTGAAAAGTTCAAGGCAGAGATGTCCACTGAGAGGGACCCGTTTTCCCTAGAATATGCTTCATCGGAGCAAGTATAGATGTCTCGATACTTGAGTATGCTCAAGACTGACATCAAGGATTTCGTGTCAAACAATCGATACAAGAATTTAATAGAAATGCAAGAGCATGTCAGGAGAAGAAAAATTGAGTTGGAGACTCAACGAAAGGAAAAGAGGCAGACTCCAGCTCCATCTCAACCAAAAACCAAGAGATTCAAACCCGATGAATCAAGGTCTAGAGGACATATATGTCTTCGGTGTAACAAGTGTGGGTGATCCCACGAAGGAGTTTGTTGAGATTTGATATGCTTCAAGTGCGGCAAGGAGGAGCATTACAGTTGAGATTGTAAGCAGGAAGCACACGGAGTGCATATTTGTTTCCATTGCAACTAGATATGTCACATCAAGACCAACTGTCCTCTCATGAGTCCAACTGCTACAATACAAGCTCGAACACATGCAACTTTAAGGATAACCCATTGCTAGAAAATAGGCCTTTAATGACGTTCGAACCATGACACACGGTGATTTATGATACAAAAAAGTATGTGTCCTATAAATAATATCATCTCTCCCAAAATTTGAAAGATTTAGGACACTAATTTTTGCGTATCTAAAAGTTAGTGTCGGATTAACGAAACAAAAAACGCATTTTTGGAGAACGCATTAAGCTTTGTGCTTACCCAGTTGAATATAAATGTTTTTCAGGTACTCATGTGAAGGGCACGGTTCCACTGTACACACACACATTCGCAGCATGTTTCCACATAATGTAGTCATACTCTGATATATATATATATATATATATATATATATATATATATATATATATATATATATATATATATATATATATATATATATATATATATATTATAATAAATAAAAATGAAAAATTTTGCTTAAAAAACGAGAGGTTACAGAAAAAGAGAGTTGACTAACAATCGACCCAAAAAAACCTGAATATAAATCTCACTTTAGCATGCAAGATTTATCGATTGGTTTGAGTTTTGAATTTGAATAGAATGTTATAATTGTCAAACGACGAATTTTAAGGTACTATAATCAACCCAAATTAATTAGGAATTATGAATTTGTTTTTTTTTGTAAATACTAATCAATATGATTTTATTTAAATTTGAAAGTAAAATCATAGAAAATTACACATGTCATTTTAGAGGATATGTCATTTTAGAGGATAGGAGAAAGAAAAATCAAATTATGAGAAAATGACATGTGATATAGAGTAACTACTCTTTTATTAAGAAGTGTAGATATTCTTTTACTAATAAGTATTTTATATATATATATATATATATATATATATATATATATATATATATATATATATATATATATATATTGTCACACCCCCGAACCGTCAGAAAAACAACGGCGGAAACGCCCGGGGGCGGCGACGTCATACGTCGTATCACAGCAATCGTTTCATAGCAATCAAAGTAATCACAATCATTACATTACAATATGAATATTTACATCTGTTTGAAAACATAGTTTGTACATCATATTATATAACAAAAGATAAAGACGAGACTCCAAAAATGCTCCGTCTTCTCCACAAGCTGGCTAGGTACCTGTCTATCGTTGCTGTGAGAATACAAGCGGTTTTGAAAACGTATCAGCATAAAGCTGGTGAGTTCATAAGCATGTTTTTGTATTGAAAACTAGTCACTGAATTTTTATAAATGTTTTCTTTCCATTATAATTAAATATTGTTTGTATCGAAAACCGTTGTTACCAAGTTCTGAAATATGTACGCATGTTTACCAAGAAAATCCAATATTTTCTAACATGTTTGTTGTTTTCTGTATGAAAGGTACATTCTGTTTGAAAACCCTGGCTACCACCAGTATGTAATGTATGATCGTTTGGAAACCCTGGTTACCACCAATATGTATAGTAGTTTTATTTCTTAAAATAAAACTATAGATTTTGTCCCTGGAATACCCTCCAGTAAGTAGATAAGTAAGTAGTTTTATTACTTAAAATAAAACTATAGAAGAAAGAAAGCCCGTAAACGATGATTAGTTTATACTTATTGTGAGTCGTATAACCATACTAATTTGACCTGTGATCTCCTTGACGTTCTTCAGGCGTCGTACGATTACAAAATTTGTCACCCCAAGCGTGCCCGCCT